TTACAGTTCCTTTTCGTTATGTAAGTTTAGTTTGCGTCATTTAATTACGGCAGGATAACTTATATGATGTGGTAAATATATATATATACCACTTACTTACACACATCATATATTTATTTGTTTCATATGATTGTCACAAAAATCAGCTATAATATTCCTATAGTTGGTACAGGGTGTGTTTAACGTGAAGAAGGTATTTTATGTTTAAATATTGTTTTTGATGGAAATCGTGATTTGAAAGTTTAAGTTACTATCCTGGCTTTCAATAATATGGAACTTAAAGAGCATCCAGAAATCTGAGGCAGGGCCGTTGGTCCCTGGCGATGTCTGAATAAGTATATCAGCACTAAATATGTCATAAATTTTACTTTATTATTTACGTAACTTTTGTGTGTATGTAAGTATCCTTATACAAGCAACTAACAGATATTCGTATATTCGTATACATGTATCATTCTATTTTTACGAGAAATTGGTATGTATATTGTTTGTACACAATTCCCTTTTATAAGTAATTTATATATTTTTTGTATACACGTAATAAATATATATGTTTTGTGCAGACAGTTCTCCTACTACAAGTAACTGTTATGTTTTTATGTATACATAATTGTGTTTTTATAAGCAATTTGCAAGTCGTGTGTATGTACATAACTCTCTCTTTGTGAGCAATTCTATACATCATTTTGTTTAATACGAATATATTTAAATTGTGGATATCAAACAAAAGTAAAATGATATATAATTATTGCTCTACTGTGTGATATTTTGAGTTATGATAGTGCTGTATAAAACATGGCTAGCAGTATTTCAGAGAAATATCCTAACCTCTGTTTTCAAGATAGTATATTCTTCCAAAATCAGATTACACAATATCGCACTTACAATAACAAAATATCTCATGCTCTCTATGTGAATTCATTCAGAAAATTATGAATAACAATGCATCTACTAGCGTTGATGTTTAATTTTATATTACATCTGATGTCAGTCAAATAGCGTACGGCTTGATCCAGGTTAAAAAGCTGGTCACTCTTGAGAAAGCGACAGGGTTGCCAAACTGGCAGCCACTTTTAGATCCAAAAGACACAATACCAACGAGAATGTAGTAACCACCGCGGTCAAAAAATACAAGAGGCCCACCAGCATCACCCTGTAACATGGAGCAGAATGTCAGAGATCAGCAGAGAACTCTTGCACTCCCACCCCCTTCCAAAAGGACACCTGAAAATGAAGTAATACAAAATGCCGCTGTACAAGTGTCAGGCGAATCTTGATCAGTGATCTAGCTTAGGGATCGAGAAGTTCGGTCCAATGTGACAGCAATGCAATCCAAAAATATTTATCCTTATTCTGATTTCTGGCGAACACATTTCCAAAATATATATGCTTTGAAATTAAGTGTGTTTTGTACAGGGACACAAAAATTAAAAAAAAAGTAAAGGAATACAGGCAAGGACATGCTCTTCCTTCCACAGTTCATATCTGTTCTGACACAGGTCATGAAAATTGAATAGGTCTAATCGGCGTTGCCAGATTTTTCTTTACAGTTGGAACCAATTTTGGAAATAGCGGCAATCAGGGCATTTGTTCACAAACTTTGTTTGAAGCCATTACAGATTGCTTTTACCGATTTCCCTGGAATATTCTTGATAAAAATCTTCTATTAAAACAACTTTTAATTTTTATATTAATATTTGGCATATTTTCATTTTTAAATTTAGTTTTCATTTTCAAGAACTCAAATAGCACGGATGTCAGGTTGTGCCCTTGCAGGAGCCCATATCTACCAATCTTCGGCTTCCAATCTCCCATCATCACAGTTGCTATATAGTCACCCTTTTCCTAACCACATTGGTTTTAACATTGCCCAGAAATGCAAGTTCCTGAAGAGTTCTTTCCCTTATGCTATGCAGGAGTAACAACAACACTGCTCTACAGAACTACAATCGGTCTTTTTTTATTGCTAGTGGGGTGGGACTAAGTCCCTTGTACTGCGGCCATTTCTGGCCTATTGTACCAGCCCCAGATGATAGGTGAGGCTGATTGTGGAGCAATTGGTGGAATGAAGATTGGCAGGGGAAACCGAAGTCCTCGGAGGAAACCTGCCCCAGCGCCACTTTGTCCACCACAAATCCCACTTGACCAGACCCCGGGATCGAACCCCGGCCGCCGCGGTGAGTAGCCAGCGAATAACCGCTTGAGCTATGGCGCGGTCCAACAACGGGTCTTAGACAACACCAGAGAAACTTACAGGAAACTGAGTTCCTTATATAATATCTCTAAATGATGTCACTTACATGGACAGTAGAGACAGACTAACAAAGCCGTTGTTTCCTTCTCTGTTTGTAAACATTAACTTTTTCAGCTTGAATACAAAATTTCATACAAATATTGTGATCCTACATTTCTGTACCATTGTCGCGTGTGGATAACAAGATGGCGAGTAGCGTCTGTCAATTCCCCGCCTCACCCTTCTCTTCAGATATCACTGGCCCATAACGCGACAGATTTATTTGGTTATTTTAATCGAATTAAATTTTTTTTCGGACAATGCTGGTAGTTCAACCCCTTCCAATTGCCTCTCCTTCCTTTCACAGGGAAACTCTGGCTCTAGCATTCGTTGCCTATTGCTGACCCGTCTCTGCAAGGAATTATGTGACAGAGATACAATATGTACAATTTATGTCTATCAAGTTACGGGATTCATAACTTGACTTAACATTGTTTATTTATCGTTCACGAAACGACCCTTTTAGTAGTTGTGATTAAGTAACATCAAATTACAGCATGAAGAATGCCGTCTTCTGGGATGTGGTGCCGTGTAGATCTCGTATAAACCGACGTTTCGGAGGAAATAATCTCTTTCAACTTTATGGTAGAAAAATCCGCGAGCGTAGAATCAGCGTGAGTTGGTGGCTGCAGACTACCCTGAAGACTGAGTCGATACGTTCCTCCGAAACGTCGGTTCACACAAGATCTACACGGCGTCACACTCCAGAAAACGGCATTCTTCATAGTCACCACCGTGAAATCCCCAAATCTTACAAATTACAGAATGTTTAGCAAACATTGAAATGAAAACGATCTAGTAGGCAGATGTCGCGAACTAATTTTGGATAATAAATCGGGATTTTTCCAGAACAACTGAGGAAGTCTCTGACAAAACTTTTGGTCAGTGTTCCGGCACACTCCAAACACATTCGCCCCGAACACAGTAGTACGTGAAATTAGGTCACAATCCCATTTTTCCATATACTCAGAAAGTTGTTATTCACAAATTACCTTACATTTCACTGCTTCACAATGTCCGCTCCTGACAACATTGTCAAGTAAGCAATGAATAAATAAAATAGATGCAAAGAATAACGATGACACGGAAATGGAGCCCTACCAAGAAACAAACTCCGTGGTTTTTAGTCCGCAAGCGAACTATACCGACCGAGCGACCGCCGCTTATCGGCGAAGTTAGTGCCAACTTTTGAGGATAGAGGGTGTCGCGTGATCAGCGCGACAGATTCCCACAGCCATTAATCTCGGTTTTCTAGAGCGGAGCCGCTACCTTTCCATTCAAGTAGCTACTCAATTATCCTCACGAGGCTGAGTGGACCCAGTTCCAGACCCACTACTTCTCAGAAAATCTGGTAGTCTGGGATCGAACCAGGGACCTCTGGATCTGTAGTCAGGAACTCTGACCACTAGACCAGAGAGGCGGTCTTTATGGAGCCCTACCACCATTCTGAAAATTCACGTGGTTCTTATGTATGATTGTCTTCCTCTGAGATGCAGAAATTTGGGAATGATTTTGTTATGAAACACTTACGTGACAAGTGGTATCATCATTGAAAGCCGTGGCGCACAGTTTGCTCGGAGTAATAGCTTTGCCGTAAAATCTGGTACAGTCATAGTTAGTAATACCTATGATATCCGAGTACGCCAAGTCAGGTGAAACACCAGAGCCACCTAGTGGTGAAACAATCACAACATTTTAGAAATACAGGGCGTTCAATCCAGGAGGAAATTTTGCAACACCGTTGGCCGGGCCCAATATTCCTCACAGATTGCTGCTGTAATTGTACCGGCGCGCGTTTATCAGCGCTAATGACTCATTCTGCTATCAGCAGTTACAGCAGCAATCTGTGAGGAATGTTGGGTCGGGTCAGCGGTGTTGCGAATTTTCCTCCTTAACTGAACGCACTGTATAAATACTCGTATGAAGGACATAACTTTCGGTTGAAAATGTTTCGGACTGATTATGCGAAACATCTATCAGAACAAATAATATATCTAGGCCAGTCCGCAACACAGCTGAAGGCCTCTGAAGTTTGGCCAGTCCGCCTGTCTCTGTGTACTCCTGAAACAATTGAAGAACCACTCAACAGCTGATGATGGTATATGAATTATTTTACATAGAACTCTTGAGCTATTTCATTTTCCACTAACATCAGATAGTTATAATGGTCAGTTACAGGATTACTTTCATGTATTAATTTATAGCTTCCCAGGAGTAACTCATTGTTCATTGAGGGAAACTATTATAAGCAAATTTTGTAGTGTGAAGATAAGACACATTTTATTCCAATGCACTTATCCGGTAAGGACTGTGATTTTCTAAATAATTGAACAGAACGGAAAGGAACACTTCCATATCTGCACATTCAAATCCAAAATGGCCTCTTTTTAATTCAATTCTCAGTATGCTGATACAAGTGTTACTTCTCTCCGGCTTGAGAAAGTATCAAGTGAGGTTATGTTTCCTTACTACACGAGATACAGTTCATATTGGTATTCACCTTTTCACGAATACTTCCTCTGCCCAAGGCGTCTTTAACTGCCCACTATATACTTTTAGTAATATTTAACCTGTGAAGGATGCCTTTGATTTCATGCCCTTTGATACAAATTAAACGTCACCGTCAAAGGTTATAAACATATTTTTCCATGATTCATTTCCGAAAAATTAAATTAATAATTTTTTATGTTAGGGCCAGTGTAATTAACTATCTCAGAAGATTTCAATTTTGAAGAGTTCTAACTTATGGGACGTAACGCCGGATGGAAACTATATGTTACTCCGAAACGTCGGTTGACTTTCGACGGAAGATAGAATTCTTCATAATCACCTCAAGTCCTACGGTTTCGATTTTGGTTTGAATCAGTCCAATATAACATTTGATTTATGGAAAGCTCAAAGTAGATAGTGTAAAGATCCTCAAAAAGCTGATCTTATTAACCACGCACATGGCACGCGGTGCAGATGCCACTGAGAACTAAACTTTATATTTCATTTTGCATTATGGTATATTAATATTTCCTGACTCGAGACAATGCGACAGGAGGCTGGAGAAAACTAACGAGGAACTTCATAACTTGTACTCTTCGACAAGTATAATTAGAATGATCAAGTCAGAGAGGATGAGATAGGCAGGGAATTTAGCACGAATGGGGAGAAGAAGAATGCATATAGAGTTTCGGTGGGAAAGCCAAAAGGAAAAAGACCACTAGGAAGAAGGGGAGTAGGTGGGTGGCCAATATTAAAATGCATCTTAGAGAGATAGGATGAGTTGGTATGGACTGGATCGATCTGGCTCAGGATAGGGAGCAGTGGAGGGCACTTGCTAGGCTTCCATAAAATGCTGAGAAGTTCTTGAGTAGCTGCAAAATTGGCGGCTCCTCAGTAAGGGTTCAGCTCCATGAAGTTAGTTAGACTCAATATAGTGTGGTATTTATAGTTTGGTTATGTTGGCTACAACGAATTTGTTGGTATCTGCAATAAAATACGGTTAGTACAATTGTGGTATGAGAAATTTAAGGAGAAAGAATTTAGAAAATATGTAACGTGGGTCATAAATTTGCGATTGCATTCCATTGAAACTTCACTGTCCTATGATTGAAGGCAGTTTACCGTAAATTGTCGTCTGTAAAATTTTGAATCCGGTAACTGGCCTGTATTCAATTGTAATTATAACATGACAAAACAACGTATTCTTACTTACTATCGGAAATTATCCCCCAACCACTGACACGAAGTGTCTCTCCTGCAAAAGTTTCACTCTGCTGTAATCGATTTGGCAGTCTTGCGGGAGCGATGTAAGCTGTGAATTTCATTAACACACAAATGTAAACGTATTTCTGTATTACTATTTAAGCAGGTGTAAGATGTGGTAATACTGCTATAGCTCCATTTCCCAGCTATGATGTGAAATTTCCCATGTTATAGGTAGTGTCTATAATATACCCCTTGCAAATTTATTTTTGAAAATAATAGTAACTTTCATTTCATGGCCGCGCCATTGCTCAAGCCGTTAGTCGCTGGCTTCCCACCGAGGCGGCCCGGGTTCGATTCCGGGTCTGGTTAAGTGGGATTTGTGGTGGATAAAGTGGGGATGAGGCGGGTTTTCTCCGAGTACTTCGGTTTCCCCTGCCAATCTTCATTCCACCAAATTCTCCATCATATAATCACCTGGGGCAGGTACAATAGGCCAATCAGTGGCCGCCGTGCCGAGTGGACCCAGTTGGACTCCATCCCCCACTAAGTGAATTAAAACAAACGTTCATTTAATAAATGAGATAATCAAGAAATACACAGGGTGTTCAATCAAGGAGAAACCTTGGCAACACCGCTGACCGGGCCCACTATTCCTCACAGATTGCTGCTGTAACTGTAACGGCCCGCGTTTATCAGCGCTAATGACTCATTCTGCTATCAGCAGTTACAGCAGCAATCTGTGAGGAATGTTGGGTCGGGTCAGCGGTGTTGCGAAGTTTCCGCCTTGATTGAACGCACTGTATTACCGTCTTTACAAAATTAATCAAGATGTGATGAGATGAGCACTCACACGTAAACTGAACACACTGAGACAACCGAATGACAGCGATATCATTCAGCAGCAAAGTTGGGTTGTAGCCAGGGTAGGTCTCCATATATCGACCGGTTACATCCAAGGAGCCGTATTCCTGGATATCCAAGCGGTTGGCGCCCAACCTCACATAGTACGTGTTTCCCCTGAAAAAAAAAAAATACCCACATTCGTTGCATGTTGGGCTTTTCAGCAAATGGCTGTAGCGACCGCCGCTTGTCGGCGAAGTTAGTGCCAACTTTAGGCCGCGCCGGGTTCGATACCGGGTCTGGTCAAGTGGGACTTGTGCTGGACAAAGTGGCGCTGGGGCGGGTTTTCTCCGAGTACTTCGGTTTCCCCTGCCAATTTTTATTCCACCAAATTCTCCATCATCATAATCACCCGGGGCATGCTACAGTAGGCAAATCAGTGCCGAGTGGACCCAGTTGGACTCCACCCCCCACTAAGCGAATTAGTGCCAGCTTTAGTGGATAGAGGGTGTCGCGTGGTCAGCGCAACGAATCCCCACGGCCGTTAATCTCGTTTTTCTAGACCGGTACCGCTATTTCCTTGAAATGGCTCCTCCATTATCATCATGAGGCTGAGTGGACCTCGTTCCAGATCCACTACTTCTCAGAAAATCTGGTAGCGCCGGGAATGGAACCCGGGACCCCTGGATCTGTAGCCAGGAATTCTGACCACTAGACCGCAGAGGCGGTCAATGTCTATACGTATGAAGAGAAGGATAATTTCTTCGGAGATGTGACGCCGTACAGTAGGGTAGAACTTTTATGACGTCTCCGAGGGTTGTACTGCGTCAACCTTCAAGCAAATCGACTTCTGTTAGACGTCACGGCGTCACATCGCAGAAGAAGACAAGAGTAGTGGATGGGTTAATGGATTTACAACTGCAGTGCTGATTATGGGTAAACAGACGCTACTGTCCCGTTATTACCTGCAATGGGCCGCGGTGAGAACCCAATAATTGGATATCAAAGCGCCACCGCAGAAGGACGAGTCGTCAATCACAATTGCCGCCTGCCATGGAAACTGACCCCGGTAAGCAATTGCGCCACTGTTGAAGCGCAAGGCATGGTTCTGCAAACGGACGTTGAGAGGGAGAACTATACAGAAATAAATTTCATTATTACAAGCTACCCCTGTAACAGGCCGTGAAGGCCCAAAGGGTTGTGAGACGTCGAGGCTCCCACATTTTCTCTAGACAATCCGCTCACAGATGGCGGTGAGGTTATCAGCCTTACCTGCCGGCCGCTCTTTAAGGTCGGGAAGAATCCTGGTAGAGGCTCAGCCGACCCCAGATTATTGGCACTGAAATTCCTAAGGATTTCCAATATAACGCTATTCTGTTATAACATAGCGGCCAGTTGTTAGTAGTTACTGATAGGATCGCGTGTGGTAATAAGTCACGTATGCATCAGTCAGCTTTGCAATTTCGACCTCTACAGGCAAAGAAAAAACTGAATTATTGATATTGTGTGTATTCAGTGAATTATGATCTATTGAGAAATGATTTCAGTCGCTAATAATATCCATTGGCAGAATGATTAATGAATGATGAACTGTAAATATTGTAGAAGCAAGCAGTAGTGGCCTATTCCTTGAAACTATCCCCTCATTACGCTGGAGGGGCTGAGGAAACTAATGAAAATCATCAGTCATCATAACCGGTGTTCCTTCAGAGATTCGAGCCTAGCACCTCCCAAATACAAATATGGAGAGGTACCATTGTGGTTTATTTGTCAGTTTATAACAATAAAAATAATAATAATAACACCAATTAGCCTTCATTATAGAAGATTCCTTTGTTAAAATTATAATTATTGAATATAAAAGCATTAATTACCTGTTTGGAGTCTGCTGCTATTCTTAATCATCGATTCTTCAGGTCTGAACACAACCTGCCTCACCATGTTGCCCAATTCGGTAGCCGTGAGGTTTCGTTGCATGGACATCACAACGTAACGGGGCTTTCCTTTACGTAGATCTGTTTCAGCCTGCAGAACCGCCATTCAGATGTCACAATCCCAAGAAACAGAGAATGAGATTTGAGGTTTCTCACCCTGATGAAGATCTAGGTTGAGATATTCCGGATTGTGACATCGTGTAGTCTGGTAGATGGTTACCAATATTTCGGAGAAACCTCAGGGTAAAAGTGTCAAACCTTACCCTCCATGTACATGGCAGAATGTTCTTACGAATTGTTTGTAACCACGTAACAGACTAAACGGTGTCACAGCTCAAAACTCACAATATGAAGCCTCAAATTTCAAAGAACTGGTAATTGTTTCATAGAATCTTAATTGTATGTTGTGTATTCTTATTCTTAAGCTCAAGGGACTTTTTCTTACCGCGAAGCCGACAGCTGCGAGAAATGCCAGAACAATGAATGTCTTCATGGCTGTAGACCGCAAGTGGACTGTACTGAGATGACGCAACGGTTGGGTTTATATACCAATTCCTTTCATTATAACTCAAAAAAATCTATTAAGATAGTCATGATTTAGATGCATTTCGAGTCAATGCCATTTTCATTTAAAAATCAGAACAATATTTACAATGTATCTGAAACAAATTTACTCTAAGTTTCTTCATAAGCTTTGATAATGCATAAAACATGGTTATGTAAGATTTGCTGATAATTGCAAACGAAAATGCGCAAGTCAGTGCAGGAAGTGTTCGGGTAATTACACGTTCCGTAAATGGTTAACCCTCATGCACATTTGATTAAGATCTAAAAGTCTGTGACGATGATACATAATTACAAATATTACGTTTCTGGACATTATCCATCGTCTTGTCTTTGTCTAAAAACACTGTCCTATTTATTTTTGAAAACACAAATTTTCAGAGACCAAATTCTGTCTCTGTCTTCAGATAAAACCTACTCACTTGGACCCAATCGATAGAGCTTATCCCTTATCGATTGGCCCCTATTCTGTCTCCGCCTTCAGGTAAAACCTGCTCAGTTGGGCACAATCGATAGAGCTAGTCCCTAATCGATTGGCCACAATTCTGTCTCCGCCTTCAGGTAAAACCTGCTCAGTTGGGCACAATAGATAGAGCTAGTCCCTAATCGATTGACCCCAATTCTGTCTCCGCCTTCAGGTAAAACCTGCTCAGTTGGGCACAATCGATAGAGCTAGTCCCTATCTACCGGAGTAAGTTTTACCTGAAGACGGAGACAGAATCCAGTGTCCCAAACGTTGTGTTTTAAAAAAATAGACAGGATGGTTTTTAGATAAAGACAAGACGATGGACAATGTACAAAAATATAATATTTGTTTTCGTGTACATTTCCTGGTTTGTTTCTTGACGCAATGCAAGTTATTTAATATATATATATATATATATACAGTAAAGATAAATAATAGTCCCTTTGCTTAATTAATCAAGCACTATGCTCTGAAGACATGGGGGACTGGAGGCATAGCTGCACCATTTTTGACCTCGGCATTAGATCGATGGGACTGGTCAGCTCCACGCTCTGGCCGCTTTACCCCCGGTAGCCATTAGATAGGAGGTTGGGTGGGCTCCTGATCCTATATGGGTGTTGTGGAGGAGAGAAAATGTACTGTTAAGGCAAAGGGATAACATTTGTCCGTGTCTAATTAAGCACCACGCAAAGGAAACTCGTGGGATTGTGGATGTGTTACTCTGCGCACCTCAGCCATGTATGGAGCAGACTGAGAGGCCTAACGCCCCTGTCGTGAAATAAGACCTCGAGGCGTATTCTTGCAACGTCACTTTACTACTCAACGCCGTAACTACAATTCAACGTAAATATAACACAAANGCCTAATCGATTGGCCACAATTCTGTCTCCGCCTTCAGGTAAAACCTGCTCAGTTGGGCACAATCGATAGAGCTAGTGCCTAATCGATTGGCCACAATTCTGTCTCCGCCTTCAGGTAAAACCTGCTCAGTTGGGCACAATAGATAGAGCTAGTCCCTAATCGATTGACCCCAATTCTGTCTCCGCCTTCAGGTAAAACCTGCTCAGTTGGGCACAATAGATAGAGCTAGTCCCTAATCGATTGACCCCAATTCTGTCTCCGCCTTCAGGTAAAACCTGCTCAGTTGGGCACAATCGATAGAGCTAGTCCCTATCTACCGGAGTAAGTTTTACCTGAAGACGGAGACAGAATCCAGTGTCCCAAACGTTGTGTTTTAAAAAAATAGACAGGATGGTTTTTAGATAAAGACAAGACGATGGACAATGTACAAAAACATAATATTTGTTTTCATGTACATTTCCTGGTTTCTTTCTTGACGCAATGCAAGTTATTTAATATATNAAGCACCACGCAAAGGAAACTCGTGGGATTGTGGATGTGTTACTCTGCGCACCTCAGCCATGTATGGAGCAGACTGAGAGGCCTAACGCCCCTGTCGTGAAATAAGACCTCGAGGCGTATTCTTGCAACGTCACTTTACTACTCAACGCCGTAACTACAATTCAACGTAAATATAACACAAAATGTTGAACAAGTCGTTTCACAGTCGGTCCTTTCGTGTTAACAACTCTCACTAGGATGTCAAAGAATATTCCTAAGCGTTGTTTTATATACAAGATGATCCCTGGCAACGAACCTTCAATGAAGGTTATCCAGTTTCCGGGTTAACGTCGTTACTACCCGGCAAATAACACGCAACAACTAGTTGAGCAACGCTATTAAGTCACGGATCATAAATCAAGGAATTAAAGGTGAATAATGTCTCAATTCCTCAACGCCCCCGGCACGTTATTCCATAGGATGAAGCTGCCGAATCCCATTGGATAGGAGAGAGTTTGGGGCCCAGGGCCGGTGTGAACGCTGTGGAGAAGACATGGATCTCTGATCCTATGAAAATTTTGATTCCCTGTTCGTTCATCTCGAAGTTTCTAAACCGACTGAGCCGTTCCGATTCCTGTCAGATGGTCTTAAAAAGAAACTCCGTGGTTTTAGTCCGCAAGCGAACTATACCGATCGAGAGACCGCCGCTTGTCGGCGAAGTTAGTGCCAACTTTAGCGGATAGAGGGTGTCGCGTGGTCAGCGCAACGAATGCCTAGGCCGTTAATTTCGGTTTTCTAGACCGGAGTCAGATGCTCTTATTGATTTGAAATTGATATGAATATTGGGAAGTTACCCGGAAAATAAACAGAAGATGTAGGAAAGGAGAGTCCCGTAATCCTATAATTAGACGAATAGAACTTGGCGCTCAGTAAGAAACCAACAAAGTAGAGGAGTGTAATACGTGGAGAAAGAAGAAAATGATTAGAATGCGAGGAAGTGAAAGATAGAATGAAAAAAAATGCGGGAACAACAAAGGGGAATAGAAATACGATGAAATGAATGGGAAAAGAAGCGACATGAGGAACATTAATGATTATAAGGACAACATGGAAAATTTGGAAGAGAAAGAAAAACAGAAGAGAGACGAGTATGTCTAACATAAGTGAGAAGTGAGAAGCTGGTAGCTGAGACCGGGAACATTTCGGGAAGTCAGAGGAAGTTGAACGTCCGCTGTCGAAAGCCGCTACCAAGCAACGGCTAGTGAAGACTGAGAACACTTTATGTATGTTGTGGCTACAGTGATCTTTGGAGTGTGTAACTCATTGACACTGTCGTAGTTATTTACAGTTGCGTTTTGTAAGGGTTCAATAAATCCGATTTCCAATCCAAACCCCGTCTACAGTCACTCATCCACGTGATAGTAACTACGAGAATTTAGGATACAATACGTGAATTAATTTCGAATAAACAAATTATCATATTAGGATTTTCTGTAACGTGTTTTCAGTTCGCACGGGCCTGAGGGCTGTTGAGAGAGATTTGGCAGAAGTTCTCTTCTCAAGGATCATGGGTAATTTGAAATACAGATGCCGCTCGATACTCCACTTCAAGAAAGAAGAAATGCAATTCTTTGACATCCTGATGCAAAAGCTGTCTAAAAACATAAAAATTAGAATACACAAAACTGTAATTTTGCCTGTGGTTTTGTATGGGTGTGAAACTTGGTCCTTAACATTAAAGGAGGAACATACCGAGGATGTCTGAGAACAGGGTGCCCAGGAGAATATTTGGGCCGAAGAGAGATGAAGTGACGGGAGGTTGGAGAAAACTGCATAATGAGGAGCTTCATAACCTGTACTCTTCTCCAAGTATAATTAGAATGATCAAGTCAAGGAGGATGAGGTGGGCAGGGCATATAGCACGAATGGGGAAAAGGATATATATATATATAGGATATGACGGGAAAGCCGGAAGGAAGGAGACCACTGGGAAGACCAAGGCGTAGGTGGATGGACAATATTACAATTGATCTCAGAGAGATAGTGTGAGATTCGCTTAGTGGGCGGTGGAGTCCAACTGGGTCCACTCGGCACGGCAGCCACTGATTGGCCTATTGTACCTGTCCCGTGTGATTATGATGATGGAGAATTTGGTGGAATGAAGATTGGCAGGGGAAACCGAAGTACTCGGAGAAAACCCAACCAAGCGCCTCTTTGTCCACCACAAATCCCACTTGACCAGACCCGGGATCGAATCCGGGCCGCCGCGGTGGGAAGCCAGCGACTAACCGCTTGAGCTATGGCACGGCCTTAGTATGGGATGGTATGGAATGGATTGATCTGACTCAGGATAGGGACCGCTGGAGGGCTCTTGTGAACACGGCAATGAACCTTCGGGTTCCATAAAATGCTGGTAAGTTCTTGAGTGAGCGCACAATTGGCAGCTTCTCAAGAAGGGTTCAGCTCCATGAGTGAGTGATTCAAACTTAACTTAACCTAATCTAACCTAACCTAACCTAACCTAATTTAACGTCAGTTGAGATGCTTACAAGCTACCTTTCATTGTGTTTAAGTTCTTAACCCTTCTTGCATTGTGTTAAAATGCATTTTATTTTGGCTTATTAAAGTCCTTGTTCTGCATAGATTTTTCCAAACCAGGAAATGTACATGAGAATTAATAATTTACGGCACGTCCGTTTGAGGTGTGATTATACAAACAGTTCCTACATTGACTTGCGCATTTTCGTTGCAATTATCGGCAACTTTTACATTCTTACATTAACCTTGTGTTATGTATTAACAAAGCTTATGAAGATAGCTAGAACA